TTTGACATATTAATTGCAACTAACTATTTCTGTATATACATAATATGATGCGATGGGCAGCCATATAAATATAAATAAATGTAAATGTAAACATAAAATTTGTTTTCATCCTCATGGTTTCCAAATATAGTTCCAATATAAGCATTTTTTTTCACTCAACCACAGGTTTTTCACTTCATTCAATCNCAGACAGCTACCACCTTTAGGCCTTTTTTTTTTAAATGCCATTTTTTTTAGCAAGAAAAGAACAGAGCCTCCCTTTGTTTGGGGATCCCCACCGGAGTTTTCTCTCTCTCTCTCTCTCTCTCTCTCTCTCTCTCTCTCTCTCTCTCTCTCTCTCTCTCTCTCTGGGGGGGGGGGGGCTGAAGCTCTTGCAGGTGCCACACCTTCTTTTTCCAAGGCACTTCTTTGCAATGGAAAAATCACTTTTTCCTCAGGCTACATAAGGAAACTGAGAGTGTGTCATTTAACTTTCATGTCACATAGCAGGCCATTTTTAAAGCTCAATATTTTTTTAAAAAGAAGGATATGTGTTCAGCAGTGCCCTATTGATATGGTTTCATGATGATAGACAGACTGATAAATAGATATAGATGATAATGATAGATGATAGATATGATAGATGATAAAGATGATGAGAGAGACAGAGAGACACACACAAAGAGAGAGAGAGACACAGAGAAGATTTTCTATCTGGGAGGTGGCAGATGAAATACAAATTTGTGATGCCCTCCCAAGTCAAAATCACCAGTCAGCAATTCTGGCTCTGAGGGATAAAATGGCTTTTTTGAAGACCACAGAATGTGAAAGAGGCTCCCTTGCATAGCTAAGGAAAGTATGGAAAATTCCTGTCGATAAAAAAGGAAAAAAAATGGGATTACCTTCCTTTTTGCTGTTCTTGTCAGGAAGAGGGAGAGGTGACAAGGATTGACCGAGGGTAGTTTTGCCAGATCCAAAGACAGAGTGAAAACAGAAGGGTCAAACTCCAGCTATCCTCAGACAGAAGGAAGGATCAGGAAAAGCATCTGATGGTTCCAGACTTGGATGGGAAGGAAAAATAGACCAAACGATTCTTGCTTGCTCTCTTTGACATATTAATTGCAACTAACTATTTCTGTATATACATAATATGATGCGATGGGCAGCCATATAAATATAAATAAATGTAAATGTAAACATAAAATTTGTTTTCATCCTCATGGTTTCCAAATATAGTTCCAATATAAGCATTTTTTTTCACTCAACCACAGGTTTTTCACTTCATTCAATCAAACATCCTCTTTAATTCTAGTTAAATCCACACACTTTTGTGATACCGTGTAACACATTGAAGCAGCTTATATATCTCCTATCCTTAAGTCCACTTTACCTTTGTTCTGTTGAGAAATGTATCCCCTAATACTTTTTGACACAGGACTTAAACTCTCCGCAGTTGTTCCATTTTCACTCTGTTTTCTTTCACTTCTATCTTTTCCTTCTCTATAATCTTCCCCAAGAATATTACTAAATAATGTTCATCATGGATTCAGAACTTCTCATTTTTATATCCTTTACAAAATCTATTGGAAACAAAGGTATTTTTAGCAGATAGTCCACAGACACCATTCTCTTCCTTCTTGAGGGAAGACCCATCCTCTGGATTTGTTAAAGTGTTATCATGAGCAAAAACATTTTAAAGCTGACACCTGTCACTTATTAAGGAATAAGATTCTGTAAAAGCAGTTCTCAAGTAGGCATCACAATGGAGATTCTTTCTTGAAAAAAATTAATGCAGTGTTTACAAATAGTGAATTCAGCTAGATATGACAATCAATATCATACTTCTTTTCCACCAGGATGTTATATTGCCCTTCAAAGCCTCCCTCCTCCCCTGGGCCAATTGGTTAAGGCCAATTGATGCCCTGAGCACAGTCCAACAATGGTCCTTCCATAGCTTAATTGACAATACATGAAGACTCAATTACTGCTAAAGATGAAATAACAGATTAAAATTTTAGTTATCTTCCAGGCTATCTCTCAAGCTGGACTCCACTACTAAATTGAATATTGGGTGGTGGGTTTTTTGGGGAAAAATTGTTTAATTTAAAATAACAGCAAGCATATTGTTTACTTATATGTAGGGTCATAAAAAGATGCAAATCTTCAATGTTTAATAAAACCGTTATGAAGGAAAATGCAAATAGAAACGTTTATTGGAAACTAAGGTCAACTGCGGCAATGAAAGAGTTAAAGGCACGATAGCTGGAGAAAAGATCTCAATGGGGCTTCCCTACCCTTGGCGCCCTAAGCATGTGCTTATTTTGCTTAATGGTTAATAGGGGCAGCCCTCTCTGCAACTTACTATAACCCACCTGCATATAAACCCTTTCCCAAGAATATGTGAAGGAGGGGAGGGAAAGGCTGAATTCTTTTCTCTTCGGTCTGCATTCCACAAGATGGCACCAGCATCTAATACATTCACCCACAAGGAGTGTTTACCTTTCAGAGCTGGCCACCCATAACAGATTAGGGGATTAAATATTTGTCTCTAAAAGACCTGGCCTTTCCTGCCCGCATCAATTTATGCGCCGGAGCGGGCTATTGCCAATACAAAAGACATTCAGACTATAAAGTGCACAATAGATGTCAACTTATTCTTAGTCTGTGTCTCTTGAGCACCTCATAAACAGCTGCGAGGAGCCGTTCTAACCAGATCACTCACTGCCATGTGATGTCTTTCTCAGCCCTGGGGAAAAAAAAATGGCCTCTGCCTGTTGTTTTTCCTCCAACCGCAAGAGAGTGACGTTGTTTTATTAATCAGCATTTATTTTCCTAACAAGTGTCTTTTGTGTGGCTTCTGCGCAGGGAGGCTTATCACTGATCTCCATTGCAAATAAAGCAGTGTGTCTATTTATGGTCATGGCTTAAAGAGCAGCGTAGCTCATGTACCATATTAGAACTTTTTGAAAAAGAGCCAAAATACAGGGGTCAGGTTTCCTGCACTACAAGCAACTTAAGAATGCAATAACAGCACCCTCTTCCCAGCCTGGTTTGCAAAATAACCTGGCAATTGCTAGTAAACTAGTCACCGCTCATATTATCAGATTAACTTGGGCGAGCTAACGTTTTAGAATACACTTATGGCAAGCAGTAGGGATGCAGTATGTCAGATCAGGTGTTTCCCCCCCCCTCCAAAAAGTTGGGACATTTGAGATTGCCAGTTTGATTGTGTTCCAATTTCATTCAAACTAAGTGAGTGGGTCATAGAGGATTTCAGAATGTTGATTAGCAATTTTATGCAGAATAGAGTTAATGATTGATTTCGCAGTGACTGAGGACTGTAATGAACAGGAATATCTGGGGATGTATTTCATGTTTTTCTAGGACAGAACCATTGCTTTGGATAATGGGACATGTCCAAACACTTGTGGTTTGGAAGTGAGGGAGACATGGTGCGCTCTGGATAAATTAATATAAACCCAATAAAGCTATGATTAACGAAGCTGATGTATTTCTCTCTTCGTAGCATCTGCCATTGATTGGAACGTTTTGTGCAATTTTAATGAAAAAAAGGGGCTTTTGGTGCCCAAAATATACTTATTTTGTTCCTATTTATGGAACAACTAAAATGGAAATATTTTACTTTGCAAAAAAAGTGACTACTATATTCAAGAATTTTAAAGCACTTTGTACAACATGTACCTAATGCCACCCCAAAGCTGATTATTTCGTAAGTACTATTCAGCTAGTTAGAAAGCTAGCTGAATCCCAACATTATTTAATAAATTAGCTAGGTAATTATAGATCTGCAGTTTCTTGGACATCTTCAGGTATGCAGTTTTCCTGACCAAATCAGCCAAAATCCAAATCTGACCTCTATAAAGGTTTAGCTACTGCTGCAGATTACTGATATCATCTTAAAATAAATTGCTGCAAGATTTCAATGCTTCTAATTTTGCTGTGTATGTTACATAATATGCTGTACACAAACGTAACAAATCTTAACATAATAGTAATGCAGTTAGCAGCAAATGCAAAGCCAACTACATGTGACTCAAAATATTGCTTTCTTGTTCAATTGTCCTTGACACCGTATTCCTTGTTTTGTTGATATACAATAGAAATGTTTTGAAATGATTCTAGTATTAAGATCAAAGCATATCAGGCATGAAAATGCTGTCACATGCAGTTCCCTGTCTCAAAGCTTACTGCTAGTCATCCATCATCCAAGAGCAATTTATCCCATTCTAATAGGTATCAAGCAGCATTTCTGTGACATTACACAAAACATTGTTCTGGATAACACAAACAAGCCCAGGGTCCATATTATAGGAATAAGACAGATAAAGCCTGATGAAAAATTCTGCTTTTGGGGAATCCACTAAATACAGTTAAATTCAAGGAAGCAGTTTTAGATGTTTCACCAGATAACATACCCCAGCTTGATACAAACTCTAATGTACACATAATTCAGTGAAATTTAATATAGCAATTGATATACTGTCAGGCTGCCTTATATTCTGGTTAGAAATATTAGAGAATGATAATTGACACTTGGGCTTTGAACTGGTTGAGTATAAGAGAGAGATCTGTAAATGCCTGCCCCAAATCTAAAAACTTAAAAAATAATTTTGAAAGTGAGATATCAGGTCAGCGTTTAATTGCTGTAGCCTTGTTAAACATAATGTTAAACACCTGATCTTGTACTGATCAAAGCAAGAAGGGAACACCTTTCTTTTCCCACCAAGAGAAAGTGAAATAAAATATATTGATTTAAATATTTTACTATCTCCATGTGAAAATACAGAAATTATTCTTCTAGTACCTGCGTCCAAGTTTTAAACCATAATACAATTCAATTGTTTAAGAAAACATTTCCTACCAATATGTGTTCTACTTTTCATCCCTCTATAATGAAAACTTACGATTTTAGTGCAATGTAGGTTTTTCAAACAAAAAAATGGCTAAGAGCACTTTTATCTTGATGCAAGAAAGATGGAACAAAAACTTCTACATGCTTATTTTATGAAGCCCTTTCACACAGTAAGAAATACATGTGCATGAAGAACAAAGTGTTATTGAGAGTACTTGTGAGAGTATTTATAAAATTAAAGTTTAATAGATAAATAGAATAAATACTTTATGCATCATAATTCTGGACAACTACATTTATAGTAAGTAAGTTGGCAAATCACAAGTTGTTGCCTCTTGGCAAATTCCACTTTTGATAAAATCACACAGGCATGTTACAATGTTACTTATGAGACTGTGATTTCATAATTAGATTTAAATCCTTTTACCTTCTGCACTGATCATGACATATAGCACACAATGGTGTCAAGTAAATACTCCTTCAGAATGTTCACACAACCCAACAGCTCAACAAGTTAAAAAGGGTCATATGTACTAAATATTTGGAGGGGGGCAATTGGAAGGGGTGGGAAAGAAAAATAAGTTTAGGAAAAATAAGTGGGAACTATACCTAGGAAAAAGTTAAAGCATTTAACTTTTTTGTGGACACTGGCAACTTAAAAATAAAATAAATTAACAAGTATGTTCTCAGGAAAAAAAATTGTACAAAAATACTGTCAAATTTCCTAAAAAGCTTTCAACACAGTAGTTCTTTCCCCCTATGTATTGAATAAACCATGTAAGCACATTACCAAAATAAAAGGATGTTGAAATTAGAACCAGAATAAAAGCCAGCAAAGTCCCCTCCCACCGACCCCACCGCCATTCCATTCACACTTTTTATCTGTACAGATGGGGGAGAGGAACAGTCAGCAGAGTTTAAGTAACAGTTATTTTTCCTGAAGAAGGAAGGATGGGCCCACACATTTGCTAAGCTTCCAGTTTAGCAGACTAAAAATTAGCATCACTCCAATGCATAGTTCAAAACAAAGGAAGAGGGCAGTATTTGCGCAGGAATCTATCCTGAAGTTCTCGTGCAATCAACTAATGCATTTTTTTTTTTAAAAAAATCTTTTTAAACTCAAGAATCTGAATGCAGTTCTACTCATTTGAAATCATAACTCACAGAATATCCACAAGATTATTTTTTGCCCATGTTTGCATCTAGCCACTGAAAGACCTGCCAGGTTAGCAGGGAAGAAATTAGGCAGAGGAGAGAGAGAGAAAGAGAGACACTGAGGATATGATAGGTTCAGTTAAAAATTATTACAGGTCAGGGGGACAAAAATGGGTGGCCAAGCTTAAAAAATAAAGAAGTGGTGGTAGCAAACAGAAAATAAGAAAAATTATACAAGTTTATAGTTTACTCTGCTTCCCAGGTGTTCAAGCTCCTACAAGCCTTTGAAATACTGTTTCTAGAGGGAATGTTTTTTCATTCATACACATGGAAAAAAAAAGTCCTTTGTTTTACACGAAAGTCAGCAGCTCACTCTGCTAGACTGCTGTTTGCAAACGAAGTCTGTCATGAAATCAAACTCGTTCTGTCCCAGCCAAAGCTCGGGAAGCTCCTTGATGCGATCCAAACCCATTTCTACGACTAAGGACATCAGGACCTCCTCATCAATGAAGTCAGTGTCAATGACATTGGGAGGCAGCATTGCTGCAGGGACGTGGGGCACGGAAGCTGGCACACCGCTGCTGCCCCCGCCCCCCCCACTGTTGCTGTGCTTTGGGTTGCAGTCCCGAAAATGCTGGGTTGCTCCGTTGAGCTGATGGTTGGCAGGAAGTAAATCCGGCATGTAGTGGTTGTGAGGGTAAGGATGGTGACTGAAGTACTGGTTGTTCAGCTTCTGCAACTGCATGCTGGCCGTTAAGGGCCCGCCTTGAGGGGCCACCGTCGGTGCCATGAACTGGGTGTTATTAAACCTCGCGGTCGGCGGCATGCTGCCAGGAGGGTGTCCCCCGTTCACGTTCCCTGGCCCCATGGCGTGCCTGATGCCACTGTTTGTGTTCATATTTCCTCCTCCGTAATGGAGATGGTCGCTCATCAAGGCACTGAAGGCGTGCGGCGGCGGCTGCTGCTGCTGCTGCTGGTGGTGGTGGGTTGGAAAGGGTCCCATTCCCATGCGATGGGCCGGGTGGTGGTGAAGCCCACTGGTTCCATCAGGGAAGCGTCCGTGGTTCATGGCCATCATGTGCTCTGCCATTTCCAGCCTTCGGAAAGTTAATATTGACAGAGAAAGGGATCAACATTTGTACTGCCTGCCTGCGCCCCCCCCAATCGCCCCCGAAGCTTGGGTGCCCTCTCTCTTCTCCCCCCCCCAGGAAGTCGCCTCTCTGGGTCTCCACCCTTCCCACCCCCCTCTAGCCCAGTCGGTCCTTTTCTCTTTCCAGAGAGATTCTTCCCAATTCGCCAGCACTGGCAAGCGGGGAAGGCGCCTTGGGCACCATCGCCGGCTGGCAGCCACCCTCCCCTCTGCCACCACTCGCGCACACCTAGGCGCTTCCCCGACTCCTTTTTTTCCGCGCACCCCCCCAGCTCTCGTTCCCTTTCTTAGTCCTCCAGCTTTCGAATCGGCAACGCTCGTCCACGGAGAGAATGCTAACAACAAACAATCCACGCGTGTTTTGTTGCGGGAAGAGCCTTACATAAGAACTACAGATGGGGAGAGCGCTGTCCGACCTTCCCGCTCTCCTTGTCAGCAACTTTGGGAATTAAAGTCTGCCAAGGACCGCTTGCGATCTAAGAACAAGTGGATTACCGGCTCCCGCGGAAGCCTCTTCCCTCTCTCTCCTCTCCTCCCCCCCCCCTCCACCAGCCGCTTCGGGCATGCCTTCCCGTGCCTCCAGTCCTCGTCCCGGAGCTTCGGGCAGGGAGCGCGAGAAAAGCCCACCGCTCACCTCGCGCTCGCCCGCTCGCTCTCTTCCTTCGCTCCCAACGCGCTGCTGGACCCAGTCAGTAGAAATCGCCCAGCATAGAGAAGGCGACGGTCCGCTTCCTCCTCTGTGTGCTTGACCGGGTGGAAGGTGGCGGTGGCGGTGAATTCTTCTGGCTGCTGCTGCTGCTGCTGGGCATACAGACTCGAAGCCGCGGCTTCCCCTTCTCGGCGAGTGTCTCATCAGCCCTTGCCAACAATGAGCTGTGTTCCTTACCCTGCTTTGGCCACAGCTAATATAGGATTTCAAAAGGGAGGAGCGAAAGGCTTCGCAGGCAAAACCAGAAGTAAAACCTGGAGCAAAGCAAGGAAAACAAGCCAGGCGGAACTGGAAGGAATCCAAAGGCCCCCCCCCCCCACGTTGTTCTCGCGGGCTCCGGGCCACGTGGGCCATCGGCGATGCCCTGGGATCCGGGCTTGCAAGCGCTGACGCGGGTTGGCCCGGCTGGAGGATCGGGCGCCGACCGAGAAATGCGTGGATCAAGAAAAGCCGGACTGCGTCGAAAGCCCGTCAGCCGGCAAACGGCCCCTTTGGCTTCTAATTGAGCCATCATTCCGATCACTCGCTTATCGCTCACACCGTTAGGCGCTATTGCTGCTTGCCTTCCCCTCCCCCCCCCCCTCGGGATACTCAACACTGGGCGTTTATTTATTGTCCCCTCTTGCCGCGCCTCCTCCTTTCTCCAGGCTTGGCGAGGCCCCTTCGAAGCTCCAGGGTGCCATGAGAGGAGCCCAAAGGCCGCGTCCCCGGTGCCTCCTGCACGAAGACACTCACCACCACCCCCCCCAGCTTCGATCCAGACCAGTGTTTCTCAACCTTGACAATTTTAAGGCATGTGGACTTCAACTCCCAGAATTCCACAGCCAGCAATGCTGGCTGTGGAATTCTGGGAGTTGAAGTCCACATGCCTTAAAATGGTCAAGGTTGAGAAACACTGATCCAGACCCTTTGGCGGTTCGACTGTAGCCTTGGCTTTGGAGGCGCGTTTCCCGCCGGGGCGCGCAGGATCCGATCCGCGCTTTCGAAGTGGCACGCGCGGCTTTGCCGCCGTGGACGTTTTGCAGTTTTTAACCTCTCCTGGTGGCTTTGGCATTCGCACGCAGGCGTCTCTGCTCTGCAAACAAATGCCGCGGTCGCCGGACAGGGGTCCCTGCTTGCCTGCCTGCCTGCTTCCCGCTTCCCCGCCGTTCCCTGCCATTCCTTTTCATAAACCCGTCGGCATAATCCACTTGCCTCAGCTCGGGGGTTGGTGGGAAGATAGAGTGGGGTAAGAAAGGCGGGCCTGACCCCAGGTTTAAGCCAGCTCCTTGCTACTACAGTCAGCAAGTAGCTCCTACGGCAAGTTGATATTGCTGGGAAAGCAAGGCAAGGCAATGGTTGCTCTGCAAATAAAGCGGCTCCCTTCCTTCATCTGCGCGCCCTTTTGGAGGCGTACTAACAGTCAGTAAAAACAGCCGAGGAGCACCGAGATAATAAAGCTGCCCGTCCCCGAGGTGTTACTTCGCAGGAAGGCAGGGTGGTGTAAGAGCTCTTAAGACCAGCCATACGGAACTTTTCGTAGGGATTCCTGACCGACTGGAGCGCCTAGTGATATACCCGATTCTCCTGCTTGAGTATCAACTCCCATCATTCTAAACAGATCTGAGGATTATGGAATTTGGAATTCATTGCATCTCCGGGATTAGGGAAGACGAGCATTGCTACGGTTCCCAGATGGATGGGGTAGCTACAGTATGGCTCTTTCTTCATCAGTAATTAGGGAAAACAACAGCGAGGGCTCGGATCAGATGGTCGCAGAATTGAGCACTGGAAGGCCAACGGTGGAGGTCATCTAGTCCAACCTCTTGCTTAATGCAGGATCTATAAAGTATAAGAGGTAACTGCTGCTGTCTTCTCCAATCTGGTAGTTACAGATATATTGAAGGACAGCTGCTATTGTCAATATTTATATAATAAGTACAATTTCAGAATGCACAACCATTCTCGTAATAGATCTGCAAACACTCCGCTTGGATTTATTTATTTATTCATTCATTCAATTTATATGGCCGCTGGTTTCAAAACAAATGATTCTGAACAGCTAACAGCAATTTAAAAAAGCAAAGAAAAAAAGAAGAGAACAAAAGTACGAAATAGACAATCAGCATCGCAAGGATTTTTTTGTTTTTTTTTAAAGAAATCAGTATGGGCACAATACAAATATTTCAACAAAATTAATTCACAGGGTCCAACACATGCTCTGATTACCTTGTCTGACAAGAGTGAGCAGAATTTCCTGATTCAGGAAAGGGCACAGTTGCAAACGCTCTTCTGGTTACTGACATTGAACAGGAATTGTGAGTTGTTGAGGACCTCAAAATTGTGCAACCTTACATAGAACAGGAAATGGAAATTCTCCAGAATTGGGCAGTCTTGGTAAGGTAGAGTTGAAACCTATTCAGTTCTATTCAACTCCCCACAATCTCCAGAGACCGAGATGGAACCTTCACTGAATCTCTTGGATGGCCTCAGATGTAATAATCTCCCCAGGAGAGCCCAGGTTACCTTGAACAGAACATCTGGATGACTATCAGCTGATATAATAAGTATGGAGAAACACTGCCAGTTTTAGCACTGTTAGGTAGGTCTTAATAGTGGCTTTGGCTTGTATTTGCTTGGGTTCACTCTTCCTTGTCCTTCTTTGTTGTCCTTCAGTGGCACCCATGAATAAGATAAGGCAAGATAAGATAAGCTTTATTGTCATTTTTTTTACTGTGGGCACAACAGCACACATCAAAAATGAAATTTAGTTGCCCGCTCTCCAAGTGACATACACACCTAAACGTACTATGTACAACATATGTATAGACCCATACCCCTACATATACATAACAAATAAATATTAAACACTGTCCATCTTGAATATATAACAGAAGGAGGAAGCTTGAGGGTTCGCAAGTTTAATGCTGTATGGAATGAAACTATGGCTGAATCTGGATGTTCTGCTTCGGATACCACGAAGCCTCCTCCCAGAAGGTAACAAGGAAAACAGGTTGTGAAGAGGATGTGTAGTGTCCCAGATAATCTTACGGACCCTGCTCAAGCAGCGCTTCTGTGCTATGTCCTGAATGGGAGGGAGGGAACTGCCAATGATCTTTTCAGCATCTCTTCAACCATTTTATTTCCCTCAGTTCCTCGGTTAACTAAGGGGAATTTTGAAATTTATGGAAGAGAGAGGGTGCATAATTGAATGCCAATCCATAGCCTCCATATACTTTGCATTCCAAGCAGCTATCAAGGGACCACCTCAAGCTTCTTTAGAACCTTACTGGATGCACTTGAGTAGGTCTAGTCTCCCTGCAGCAGGGAGAGGCAGGGAGAGCACCAGAGAACTCACTCAGAGTAACAGAGAGAGAGATACCAGATCATGACTGAGAAATGATAGCAGTCACCCTAACTTCAGATCACCTTGCAATTGCTCCTGTAGGAAAAGTAGATCTAACGTATGACCACTGTCATATGTCGGGCCTTGATGACCTGGGTTAGGTCCATGGCTGTCATTGTGGTCATGAAATTCTATTTCTAATACTTTCCCCCCTTTTTTAGATTCTTCTTTTTTTTAGTTTATATAGTATAAAATACAAAAATAGAAAAACAAATAATAGGAAAAATAGGGGAGGGAAAAGAGAAGGGAAGAACGTAGAAAAGGGAAAAAGAAAGAAAAGGTGTTGACTTGCAACTCCCTTTGGTGCAGTAAAATAAGATAGTAACATGAAACCTCAACTTTTTACTTTTAGATAATAGTATAAACTAGCCATTTCTATTATCAACAAATCTATCCAATCAGTAAAACCCAAAATCAAAGTTTTATTTTTTTCCATCTCAAGCACAAAGTCCAGAAGTGGTTTCCAAGTAGAAACAAAAATAAATGTGTTCTTTTCTTTTATCAAAGCAGTCAATTTAGCCATCTCTGCTAACTCCATCAACTTTTGCAGCCATTCGTCCATTGTGGGGATCAAAGTGTCCTGCCGTTTTTGTGTATAAAGTGATCTTGCTGCCATCAACATATATAACATCAAAGTTCCAATTTTTACCCCCAAGCCTTTTTCTATTAAACCCAAAAGGAAAGTTTCTGGTTTTATATTTATATTCACTTTAAGAATCTTCTGTATTAAAATATGAATCCTACTCCAATATTTCTTTGCTTTGTCACATGTCCACCACAAATGATAAAAAAATCTTTTCTTTACATTTGGATTTCCAACATTCATTTGAACTACCTTTATACAGTGATCATGAAATCCTGAGCCACCTTGGAGACCCCCCACTCCAAGGGTAGGTTGAAATCCCCAAGGACCATGAGCTTGGAAAACTCCATCACTAACCTGGTCAAAGAGTCCCAAAGCTCAGCCAGTGAGGTTGTTATGCAGTAGAAAGGATGGTACAATACCAACAGTCCCAGCTGATCCCAACAGCTCAATCTAACAAACAGAGACTTGCATCAGCTATTTATGCAGCAGCATCTCTGAATGCCACCAGAATATCTCGGATGACATATCTTGAATTTCCATGATTTTGTTTATATGGTCAAATATCACTAAGAGGTGCAGTGGGATCTGGGATCTTGGGGATCTTGTGCTGCCTGCAAAGTTGCCATTTTTCTGACTAGCCTTGCTACTCTAGGTTACAGGGAGTACTGAGTTAAGAAGAGACAGGGGAAGAGCATGGTTAAAATGTGCTGGTTTAAGAATGGAGCTTCAAATAGAGTTAGAAAAACAAGACAACATTTTTTTCTATTGGAGGAATTTACAATAAAATGAGATAAAGTTGGTGAGGAGAATTATTGGTGAGCGTGAAAAGATGCCAAATATTTATTTAGTATATTTTACTGCCATAAAGGAGTTTATGCTAACCTTCAGGTAACTAAGGCCAGTTCCTCATAATAGTTTATAGTATCTTGTAATGTTGTTCAACCAGTGAGGACAATTAACAGTGAGGAC